TTCAAAGCATTACATTGCACACCTTGAGTATATTGAATATATACAATTTTTACTTGTTTAAAAGCTGAAAAAAATGACTTAATTCTATGTGGTCTCTGTGTTGTAGTAATTGTAACAAATTTGAAAATGTTCAATGCTTAAATAGTGATTTTTATGTAGGATTTCATCTTCCCAGACAAGATGGAGTGCTGGGGAAGGAAAGCATGGATAAGTCTGATGTGGGTCTTAGGAGCACTGTTTTGTGTGGTGGATGGTAGAGTAGGAGAGAGACAAAAGTGGGGATGATGGCAGCAACTGAGTGGAGTTGGGAAAAGAGCCCCCTCCCCCACCTATAACCGTTACTACTAAGCTATTTCTATTGCTTCCTGAGGTGTGTTTAAGATTGGTGACACATAGTGAAATGACATATGAAGGCAGGAACACTCTATATATAAAAAAAAAAAGTCTCGCTGGGTGTGGTGGTAAACACCTGTAATCTCAGCACTTGGGAAGTGCTGAGGTCAGCCTGGGATATGTAGTGAGACCTGGTCTCAAAAACAAACAAACAAACAAACAAACAAACAAAACTAAGCAAAATTTTTGTTCAGTTAGTGTGCTCAGTGCCATAATATTGCAATAAATAAGTGGATAAAATTGTCGCACTTTGGAGGTATATTATTTGGAGGCATGGGGCTGGGTTTCTTATTTTTTGTTTCCTACTCTGACTTGTGGCGTTTTCAGGTTTCTTCTTACTAGTCTGACAACAGTATATCATTTGGTCATTTGTGATTCTCCACCTTTGAGGTTCTATTTTAAATAATTCTGCTCAAAAAGGACACTTTTATGTTACCTTTTAATAATTTATTCTCTAAAGGGATAGATATAATGTATTATAAATTTTAAAACTTTTTAGACAAAATAAGGAATAAGAGCCATACATTTTAATTCCTTGGGTTTGTTAGAAGGGAAACTCCAGGGGAGCTTTTATTTATGGATGTTATAAGCCTTTTAACTAACATACAGTATAAGATAATTTGGAACATTGTCTTTCAGAATTTAAGGAAGGGAAGAGGAAGGGAACTAACAAATGCTGAATGCCTGCCATGTGCCAGGCACTGTGCTAGACACTGTGACATACATTGCAGGGTTTATTGTGAGTATGAAATGATATAATATGTCCCCATTTTACAGATGAGGAAACTGAACTTGCCCCAAGTCACATGGCTGGTAAGTGGCAGAGCTGGACTAGAACCCAGACTCCAAATCCCATGCTTTTTCTGCTGTACGGTGTTTAAAGCTTGCAAAGAGAGGTATGAAGTTAATGACCAGAATTGAGAGTTCTAGGAATATCTTTTCCATGAAACCTTTGATACCAAAATCCTGAATTTATTTTTCATCTCAGGACTTATATGGTTGGGACCACATAAATAGAACTCTCTGCTTTTAAAATGCCAGGTTAGACACTAAAGTATATCTAAGGGAAGATTTAAGAAATATGGTGCCTTTTGTTACGAAAGGCTCTTGAAATAAACACATAGCATTTTGTAGGACTTCCCATTCTTAAGGTTAAATACAGCTAAAATAGTGTGTCTACAGGAAAGGCTGCTCATTTACACATTCCAAATGACAGTGGGCTGTGCAGAAACCCTAGGAAGTTCACAATTTACTGCACAGTGCACACAGAAATTCATGAAGTACCCATCCCAAGTACTGTGCTAGTACAGTTCTAGGGCATACCAATATGAAAAGATTCTGTCCCAGACTTCTCTGAAAGATTTTGCTTCCTGAGAATAAAATTAGCATATAAAGATCTTTTCCTTATTATCTACCTTCAGTCATAATTTTTAAGTACTCCCTGATGACCCAACATGTTTTCAGGAAATAAAGATGGAATCTTAAAGCTGGGTGTGTTGGTGCACCCCTGTGATCCCGGCACTCAGGAGGCTGAGGCAGGAAGACCACAAGGCCACCCTGGGCCATATAGTGAGACCTTGTCTCAAGAAAAGAAAAAAAAAAAAAGAAAATCTAGAATAAAAAGTAATTTTGGACCTTTTTAGGAATTGACCTTTGTAAGGTAATGGAATAAAAAACTGTCATCAAAGAATGTAGGGTGTTTTTGTTTGTTTTTTTTTTTAACTATGATTCTTTGTATCTAATCTGCTTTAAGTTACCACCAAATTCTTGTTGCAAACTGAAGCTCACTAATGTAAACACTTTTTCATAACTTATTTCAAAAATAAAACTTTTTGCCACTTAGATTTTCTCAGAAAGAAGACATTCTCTTTGCCCATATCTTTTAAATGTACTTTACCAATTAGATTATCTTTGAATGCATAGAATTTTATCCTTTTACCATTAGAAGTATACTATCTTCTAAACACTTTGAGCTAACCCAGAAATTTATTCTACCTAATTTATGCTAATTCATATTTCTACCTTGAACTAGTGGGCTTTGACTTGTGTTAAAGCAAATAAAATGAATATCTGCTATATTTATAAAACATCTAACAGCCCAAAGCTAATAAAACCAGGTCTATCTTTCCCCTTCAAAGAAAGTAAATGATTTTTTGGAGCTACTGCTCAAAATGTTTAAGAGTGCTTCATCTGGAATTGCCATCCATCCTTCATACTGTCAAATCGGGTCCTTCAAGGGCAACTGTGGCTTTTGGAAACAGGCAAAAATTGTTTGGAACCATTTCTGGTATCCATTTTCATCTGTAAAGTATTCCTACATTCCTCCTTCCCTGTTTATTTTTTTAAAAAAGGATACTTTTGTATATCACATAGGCATTCTGCTCTTCCTTCCTGTAGCAGAAAATAGCAAATGTGTACAAAATTTAGAGTGGACTGAGCTCCTGGGTTCATTGCTATAGCAGTTTTTGCCGTTCTTTGTGAGCAGTGTGAGGACAGAACAACCCTAGAGCCAGGTCTGCATCCAGACAGCCTGCAAATGTCAGTGCGGTGACATGTACACTTCTCCTTCGTCACTGGCTATTGTTCCAATTTTAGAAAGCCCACGCAGCCCCCAGCTGTTGCATTGTTTCAGCCTTTATCATCCCCGAACCTTCTTCCCTGGATGTGGGTAAAGAGAAAACGGGGAAGGACTGTGCTGTTCTGTGTTCCATCCCATCTCCTCTGCAGTATGATCACAATTTTTTTTTAAATCTTGTAGTAGTAAGTTTACAACTGTTTTTTTCTGCATTGTCCCAAAGCTGCAAATTTCCCACACATATAGTGAGATGTGCATGTACTATTTTGAATAGTCACAAAACCAAATTTAGGACCTTTCCCAAGCTTATTAATAGAGATTTGACTGGTGATCATTAATCCCAGTTACAATTTATTGCCATTGTTTAAAAACTTACATAAAGAAGGAAAAGGAAGGGCTGGAGGAATGGTTCAAGTGGTAAGATTGCCTGCCTAGAATGTGAGGCCCAGAGTTCAAACCCCAGTGCCACCAAGAAAAAAAAGAAAGAAAGGAAAAGGCAGTACATTCTTACAAATGGCCTTTTAATTAATTCTATGTTGAGTCTTAGGCAATCTTCCCTAAAAGCCGTGATTTTTCTTTATTTCACCTAATCCTCAAACCCTAGGTGGAAAAGTGTTTACCCAATTAGAAGCAAACAGATTGTTTAGTTTTTAACTTTTGAAACTGCTTGACTATTTTCTTTCCTTTTCAGTAACAGTATTCCACTTAGGTGAAAAAGTCTTTGTCTCCCATTGTGGAAAATTGTCAGTTCTTACTCAATGGGTATAATACCATTGAAATGTAAAAATATGGAAGTACTGTATTTCCTCTTTTGATTGGCATTCGGTTTGGATCCATTTTGTAGGATTTAGTAACTGTTTTTAACTCCTTTCTTGCAGTTAGCTTTGAGAGAGTATGTATTTTGAAATATATCATCAGAGTATCAGATTAACTCTGGACCACACGCTCTCAAAGTTGCAGTGTTGGTGGTAGAAACATATTTTACCACTCAAATCCATCCGTCTTTTCTAGGAAGCTATGTTGATTGCAGTTGATAGACAAATTTTGAATATAAATTAGGAAACTTTGAACATTTTCTTTTAGTTATCAATCTGAATATTAAGTAAATATTAAATCTGTCTGTTAACTGTATGATTATACTATTCTTAGAAAATATTTTAAGTGAACACTTAGAAATGTGTTACCTTAAAAAACAAGACAAAAACTTCTCCCTAGAGAAGCCAGTTTTAAGAAGAGTTATGCTGGGGTTTTTGTTGTTAACTGCAGTTGCAGTAAACTGGATTCCTTCCCTGGCCTCCATCACTTTCTTGGAGTAGGACTTTCAGTAACTTTTCAGGCATGGTATAGGGTAGGGAACACTTTGGTACACTTAGAGGGTAGTGATGTACTGCTAAAGCTGGCATACACTGCTTGTCAGAGCCAACTGCTACTTCAGCATTTTATGAACTGGTTGTTAAAACAGCCATTATTACAAATTAAACATGTACACTCACATACATTACACAAAAAGCAACACGATTTCTAATGATTTTTTTCTTCCGTGCTCTTGAGGTTGTTCACATGTTGATCTGTACGGTGTACCACTTACTGCTTGTCTCTTCCCAGCTCTACATTCAGTGAAGTCACAGTGGTGGCTTTAATAAAATTGGTCACTGTGAAAGTATTTCCATTGTGGGAATCAGATCAGGCCTCCCCTTCTCCCCAAGATGTTTCTTGAATGTTTACCTGCACACCACTGATGTGAACCTAAGTGAACTCTTAGTTTAAAAACCTGTCCACTTTAGCCATTGTCTGAAATGCATTGACAGTTCTCTATCTTAAATACGGAGAGTGTGGTGAATGCATGTCTTGTTCCCAATGCTGAATGGCATCTTTGATATTTAAGATTTCTGTAATCTCAGAGTAATCATCTTCAACATGACAAGGTCACCTCTATTGACATATAAAAAATATGTTACTTCCAGGTTAGTTTTACAGAAATATGAACTTGAAAACTGTTTATTTAAACTTGTAATGTTGTGTTTGATTGCAGCTGCCACAGGTGACATGCCAACTTACCAGATCCGAGCTCCAACTACCGCTTTGCCACAGGGGGTAGTGATGGCCACCTCACCAGGAAGTTTGCACAGTCCCCAGCAACTAGCCGAAGAAGCAACACGTAAACGGGAGCTGAGGCTAATGAAAAACAGGTAGGAGACTTCACTGGACAACAGAAACCACCTGAGGGTCACATGATTGTTACCGGGAGCTTTAAAAATATTACACTTTTGCTAAGCCCTTTCTCCCAAGCTCAGTGTTATGTGGCATTGCTTGTGGCTTTGTGCTCTGCAATTGGTGAGAATTAGCAGGCGTTGAGTTCCCAGTCATTAAACTATTTTCATTAGCAGGAAGTGTATCCCTGAGTGTTGTAAGGGTAATGTTCAAAAGATACATTCATTTTTAAAAAATAAGAATAGACTTTATCACAAACACTTATTTTGCATATGGTTTTACTTTGTAATGTGGTATTGTGACAAGTATAATTTGAGCTCCTTTATATTAGCCAAATAAATTTAAATGTTAAAACATTTCTTTTTAAGTTCTTTTATCCTTTTATCTATTTTATAACTTTGTTTTTTCACTATTATGATGAAATACATATTATTCTGACAAATTCTAGTCACATGCAAACACAAAATAACAAAAAGAATTAAAATCACCCATGCCAAAGCTGGGCGCCTGTAATCCTAGCTTCTTGAGAGGCAGAGATCAGGAGGATCTTTGTTTGAAGCCAGCCCAGGGCAAATAGTTCATGAGACCCTACCTTGAAAATACTCAACACAAAAAAGGGCTGTTAAGTGGCTTAAGTTGTAGAACACCTTCCTTCCAATTGTGAGGTCCTGAGTTCAAACCCCAGTACCACCAAGAAAAAAAAAAATCGCCCATGCCTCCTACTTCTCAGATGCCCACTAATAGTATAGTACATGTGCTTCCAACCTACTCTCACTCATCTTCTCTCACTTTTTTTTAAGTTTTAAGAATTCATTTTAGTATAACAGGATAAAGTGTGGACAAGATTGGGGTTGGGGGGAGAGAAACATTTCCTGTTCCACACAAAGGAAATGGGAGCAAAGTCCTCTCTCTCACTTATTTTTGCTCCATAGCTCTGCAGTTTTATTTTTAAGCATCAGCACATCATAAAATGGTAATTTCCCAAATATTTTTAAAATTTAAACTCTAAAATTTTAATTTGATTTGCATATTATTTTTGGTTTTGTTCTTATTATGGAGAATGGTGCAAATCAACTTGATTTGCAAAATGAACAAGTTGTTTAAGAGTTTCCCAGTAGTCTTGTCATCTATATGTAGGTGTTAAGTAATATGCTTTTTGCAAGGAAATAAAACATTTCAGTTGGGGCCATCGTCTTACCTGTCATCAGTACCATACAGTGGAGTTGACAGGTGTTACTGACCTAGTTCATCTATACATTGTGGTCACTGAGCCCCTAATATTCAGTTCTGAGTTCATCACTTTCCTTTGTAACTGAGTGTGAGCAGAATTAGCTATATTTAGTTTATTGGTGATAAATGGCACAACTTAATATATTATAAGAATCCTTAATGTTCTCAAATTCAGTAGTTTCACTGATCATTGGATGGAATTTTGTATACTAGACAACTGAACGGATAGCCAAGAATGGGCACATCTTTGTCAGCACCTGCCCCAGGCTTACCAAGCCACTCATCCATGCCAGCATAACATCTTGCTCATAGTCCTGAAAGGGATGAATAGGTGGGGCTCACACAGACCACACTTGTTTTGTGGCAGTCTTGCCTGGGGGTTGGGAGCTACAGGTGTAGCTCAGTGGTACAGTGCTTGCCTAGTGAGCACAAAGCCCTGGGTTCAATTCCTAGCACCACTGGGGGGAGGGGGATCTTAACCTGGCCATGATGGTGCTTACCTGTAGCCCCAGCTACCTGGGTAGCTGAGGCAGAAGAATAGCCTGAGCCCACGGTTCAAAACCAGCCTGGATAACATAGTGAGACCCTGTCTCAAAAGAAAAAAAAAAATCCTTACTTTGAACTGGTGGAGAAAAATAGATTGTTTAAAATTATATTTTTTTTGAGGTTTCAGGAGCTGTGAATATATTTGCCTCTCTGGTCATAAAATACATTATAAACTTCAGTTTAGAAATATAAAGTGCTCTAATAATCAAACTGTAACATTGTTCCTTGATGTCTTGTTTTTCCCAAGGAAAATAGTTCTATTTCCTTTTTGTCACTATAGTCTACTCTCTGTTTGTTTATTTAATTTTAGCAGTACTGGGGTTTGAACTTAGGGCACTTTGCTTGCTGGGCAGGTGCTCTACCACCTGAGCCACACCCCCTCGATTTTAGATTTTGGGATTTTTACAGTAGAAATACTAAGGTGAGATAAACAAAAAGTGGGATCATATAAATGTACCACAGAGCCACCTCCCCCCCATATATGAGATCTCCCTAAGGGAAAAACTGTGACATTTTGTATTAAAATGTCTAATAAATAATAACTATTACCATTTGTGATTGTGCTGCAAATAAGGGAATGAGCTGTTGGCGAGATGTAGGAGGTTTTTAAATCTTATCACAGCATCCTGTCCTAGCTGGGCACCCCCTCCATGCTGTCTCTTTCTGCAGATCCCATTTACCCTCAGGGTCCAGCATAGCCACTGTAACACTCTTGCATGGCACTAGCAGGAAGAAGGGAGAGTGACTAAAGCCAAAACTCGCAGCTAGCTCACTCAACCCCTGAAGACTTTCCTGTGAGGAACTGAGGTTGAAAAGGCCAAGTAATAAGTTGGCCAAGGTTACATAGCCCAAACTGAAGAACTAGGATATGAAATAAGGCAATCTTCTTTTTTGGGGGGGAGGGGAAGAAAGTACTAAGGGCTTTAAACTTGCTAGGCAGGCGCTCTACCATTTGAGCCATACCCCCCACCCATTTTCCTGTAATTATTTTTCAGGTAGGGTCTTATACTTTTTGCCTGGAACCAGCCTCAGACTATCATCCTACCTATACCTCTGCTGTTGCTGGGGCTACAGACATGTGCCATCACACCCAGCTTGCTTTTTCTTTGAGATAGGGTCTCTCTAACTTTTTCCCCAAGCTGGCTTTTAAACCATAATCCCCCTGTCTTCACCTCCCAATCAGGCAGTCTTTATTCCAGAACCTGGGTGTAGCTCAGTGGTAGACCCTTGCCTTACACCAGGGTTGCCTCAAAAAGACCTCAGTGTCAGCTTCAGACTTGACTTCATGGAAAGTGTATAGGTTTTAAAATTAACATGAAAGATGTGTCCTGTACATTGGCTGGTATCTGTAATATATATTTAATTTTATTTCTACCAATACAGCAACAGTCTTTATTTCTGTACAACCTGGTCACCTTCTCCTCTTTGCCATATATTTTTTTTCCTCTCCATGCTGGGGCTAGTTGCATTCAAATGCAAGGCCTGAAAACTGAGCTGACTATTAATAGAAGAAACAGGTGTTTTCCATAGCTGAGAAGTACTTAGGAATGTGCCATCCAGTGGTGTAATTGGTCAAGGCTTTGTGCTTGGAACATTTGATGCTAGTAACACACACACACACACACACACACACAAAATATATATAAAGTATAGACATTTACAAAAATGAAATAAAAAAATAAATAAACTTTTAGTAATTAAGGACCACATAACATTGCTGCTAGGTTTTTAAACATGCATTTAGTGGTAACTTCTTCTGTAGAATGACTATCTTCCTTCTAGATCTAGAATTTAGTGTAATGATTTAATCATGAGAACCTTGTTATTGAAAATGAATTTTAGTTTCTCTGTAACGAGAGTTGAATTCTGTTTCCAAAGTGGCAGATCTGTGTGTTTGTATTTATTCTTTTTCTTGTGCATCATTTGGTTAAATTCATCACTATTTTTCAGGTTCAATTCACTATTAACATCTTAAAAAATTTTTTGTTAATCAATTGAGAAGTTGAGAACTTTGTGAGTTCACAGGATGAGAGCATTATTCTTGGTTAGGAAGTAGGGGTTGTTCTTTTCCTGCAGTCCATTAGGATTTCAAGGTTTCTTTTCTGCTGACTCTTGCTTTCCATAGAGAAAACACAAATATCCAGTCAGTGAGAGTCAACTATCCTAAAAATAGAACAAATGACCAATTCTGTTGTATGTGTCATGGTTAAGGATTGTAGCAATGCTGATTGGCATTACAGTAACTCATACTTAGACATGTAACATTACTTTGTTAAAAAAAGTAGTTGAATGACAATATATGGTAGTTATTCTATATTTGCATACTCTAAAATAAAGCTGTTATTAGAAGATATCTTTTAAAGAGAATTTAAGCAAAATACTTGTTATCCCTTCCCACACTGAAAAAAAGGAGACAGAAAATGTTGGTGATACTGCTTTGGGGTAGAATTAGGCATGAAAATTACTAAATCATCTATTTATTTGTGCTTATTGTTTTGGCTGCTGGTCTGTCCTTTCCTTTGAGCTGCTTCTAGTGCTTTAAAATTCAGCATATTGCATGTTAAATGAATATGTTTACCGAATAGTCTTACTGTGTGCTTTTGAGTTCAGTCACTTCCTTTTTCATAATTTTAATTGTGTTCTCACATTATTTGTTGGCTTGTCTGAATTATTGACTGCTGTAATGTGTGACCCCCATTCTTTAATTTTCAGAAGCACTGTTCATTTCATTTTGGTTTATAAAAATGTACATGTTTTGTTTACTGTTGTAATTTATCCATGTTGTGTTTTCTAGCAAAAAGAAAAAACCTGTTTTTTGCAGTCGTGATTGTTCTTGTTTTACTGGTATTTAGTCTTGAAGAATACAAAATATTGGCATTTAAGTTTTCTGAATTTTACTTCAGGCAAGGCCTGAAAACTGAGGTGACTATTAATAGAAGAAACAGGTGTTTTCCATAGCTGAGAAGTTTATTTGGTCATTTAGACCAAATAAAATTTACTCACTGTGATAGAATAGGTGTGACTTTTGGAAGACAAAGAATAACTTAGAGGATTGAAAGGATCTATAAATGTTTTTGTAGGAGTTCTACTTGGAAAGGTGGTCCTTTTGTTGTACATTACCAAATATAATTCTAGTCATTGTCATCATGGGACATGTGCTCCAAGAAAACACCATTTGGTCAAATTGATTATGCTCTGTTGTCTTTCAGAAAGGCATGTATTTGGATCTGTTTGTTGTGTGGCTTTGTGCAATACTTTCCTAGGATTGATTGGCTGTTGATTTTGGGGGCAGAAGTTCATTGAGCCATTCTGGATTGTGCTGGAAAGTCATTCCTGTAGTCATTTGCCTTGTGTTGGTTCCAGGGAAGCTGCCCGGGAGTGTCGCAGGAAGAAGAAAGAATATGTCAAATGTCTTGAAAATCGTGTGGCCGTGCTTGAAAACCAAAACAAGACCCTCATTGAGGAACTCAAGGCCCTCAAAGATCTTTATTGCCATAAAGCAGAGTAACTGTCTTTGACTTGGACCTTGTGTACTGTGAACTCTAATCAAGGAAGGCGATGCAGCACTTCTCATCGCCATGTGGACTTGTGCAAGGGACACTTGTGACCCTTAACTAAGAACCCAGTTTGGCTTAGTGTGTGAAATTGAATTGGGAATCTTGTTCCAAGATTTGGAATGCAACTATGACCACATTTACCAAGCTTACTTCAACTTGTTTGTCAATAGCATGCAAAAAAAAAAAATTGTTTGCCTTTGCCTCTACTTTTTCCAGGGAAGCTGCTAAAGAATGTCGACGTCAAAAGAAAGAATATGTGAAGTGTCTGGAGAGTCGAGTTGCAGTGCTGGAAGTTCAGAACAAGAAGCTTATAGAGGAACTTGAAACCTTGAAAGACATTTGCTCTCCCAAAACAGATTAGTAGAAATATTTAACTGTGAACTGATTACAACATGTATAGTTGCTTTTCAAGGCAATACAATATATAGCTGGCAAGAATAATGGCTTTTTTTCCTTTGTATCATTCATCTTACTTCCTAATCTCCAACATTCCTAAAATGCTTCACTGTATGTAGTTAATACTTAGCTATAACTTTCAATTTTAAAAAAAGAGGCAAAAGTGTAAAAATGTATGTAACAAATTCTTAAAATGAACTATTTGTAAGACTTATTCCAATGCTACATATTTGTAGTTCCCAAACCCTGTGTCATGAAGAGTGTCCTATGCAATAGAAAGTTTTGTAGGTCTTTAAATGGTCACCTTAGGAAAGGATGATCAAAGATGATGCATCCAGCAGTACAATAAAATTAAACCACAAAAAATACCTCAGGAAAGAATTGCAAGAAAATATATCTAATACTTATATGAGAATAGTCTAGAAATGAATTGATGGCATTTTCAGATTTTTATATTAGTGGCTTTGTAAAGAAAATATTGTATTGCTGTCCTTGAATGCCATAGTTGAAGGCAGTTTTTAATAGAACCATGTTGGTTGCAATTTGTAGTGTTTGGTGCTTATTTAACTAGCTGAACATTTACCACTTTTTTTTTATTCTATCGTGTAATATAAATGATCTTGCAGAAGTTCTTAGTGTTGGTTTGATATTACCTCATGAAAGTGGCTTATTTTTACTATTCAGAGTGGGTAAAAAGCCTATCAGAATCCTGTTGCACACCTTCAATGGTACGAGCTGATTTGGACATTGGGTCATGGTCCTTGCAAACACTTTTGTTGTCTCACCAGAAGGACAACCCCAGGGCTGGGGGCGTAGCTCAATGGTAGAGTGCTAGCTGTCACTAGAGCTCAGCTAGCACACATTAGGCCTGGGTTCCATCCCCAGAACTGCAAAGTAAATTAAAAAATAATATATGTTTTTTAAAGAAGGAGGGTCCAGAGCATTGACTGGAGGTCAGGCTTTGCAGTGGGCAATGCCTTGATGTAGATGGTCTGCTCCTTTTCTGGTCATGGCCCTCTAGTTTTGAACTTTAGCTAATGATCACAGGAATTTTGAAGTAAAACCAAAAAGACCTCAGATTTCAAAAGAGCTTGAAGTCCACAGTGGAGCAGCTATCACAGCAGTGTTGTTACTGGGGACCACAGTTTCTCTGTTTTTAGAGTAAAAAGCTTCTGTGCTTTAACCGCAAGCCCCCACTCGGTGGTGCTAGTTCACCTCTGTTCACTAACATTTATTGCCTATGGGCTCTGTGCTAGACCCTGCTGTAGTTTCTTCTGTAACTTCTGATTTACTAAGGATCTCCACCCCAGTTTCACTAGTACGACTGGTAATGAGCGAGAATTAGGAAGTGCAGAAATGGGATTGTTTATATGGCGTCTGCCTGCTGCTTCCCTTCTGTCATTTATAATTCTTTCCCTTATCTGTAACTTCCAGAAGGTAGGCCATGTCAATTTTGGCTTTCTTTTAAAATGCTTTTCTGTAGTGCCTGAGCCCTGAATTTTTTTATCTCATGTTTTTTTTGGTGGTACTGGGTTTTGAACTCAGGTCTTTGCACTTGCTAGGCAGGTGCTCTTCCACTTAAGCTACACCCTTAACCCTTTTTACTTTAGTTATTTTTAAGATGGGTCTCATGTTTTTGCTGAACCAGCCTGGACCTCAGTTGTCTTACTTATGCTTCCTGCATAGCTGGGGTGTCAAGTGCACGCCACTCTGCCCAGCTTTTATTGGTTGAGATGGGGTCTCAAGAACTTTTTTGCCCAGGCTGGCTTCAACTCACAGTCCTCCTGCTCTCTGCCTCCCAAGTAGCTAGGATTACAGGCATGAGCCACCTGCCCAGCTTGGTCTTTTCTTCTGCAGAGAGGTAAGATGAGGAAAGAAGACATGGAATAAAAACAGGAAAAGAAAACCCCATGTTTCAGGTGAAGGAAAACAGTGTTTTGCACTCAGCCTCGATAAAGCAATTGTGTGCTTGTGGTAGACACAAGAGGGAGACACTGAAATCAGCAAATAAGATGTAGAGTGAGAGGCAGAATAAGAAATCTCATGTAGGAGGTCAGTATGGACCTAGGCCTTGAAGTGCTGGGGATTAAGGTAACTCCAGACAGGGCAGAATGTGAGCCCCACTGCAAGGAGCTTGGATTTGGGGGTGGAAGGATATGGAGTTAGCACTCAAACAAAAGTTGGCTTCATTTAAGGAAAAGAGAGAATGAGCACGTGTTCATGTATATGGTCTATAAAATATGTTATTTCTTGGGGTGACAGAAGTCTCCCTTCCTAAGCCCAATCACTTAAACAATAAGGAGGTATGGAAAAGTTCAGAGATAGGAGATCTGGGCCTTCTGCATTCCGTGACTTCACAATGGCATCCCCACCCATTCTTCATTCTCTGTTCCACTGGTCTGAGGTCCTAATATTTCTGCCATAGATCCAGGCAGCAAGAAATGGAAAAGGCAACCACCCCCTCTGTTTTTTGTCCTGTTTTTTTGGTTTTGTTTTGTTTGTTTGTAGTACTGGGATTTGAACTCAGGGCCTCATGCTTGCTAGACAGGCACTCTACCACTTGAGCCACCCCACCAGTCCATGACTTTGTTGCTTAACCAATCACTGGCAAGGAAAATGGAATGAAAATTCAGCCTCTGTTGCTGGGAAAGGTTCTAGGCTTTGGGGAAGCATATAGCCATCAGTGTTCAATAAAACTGGAATTCTGGAAGAATGGCGTGTAGGCTACTGGTAATGTCTGCCATGGGTTGATGAATGAGTGCTTAAACTGTTGAGGAAGGTAAGAACAGCTTGTGAAAGGATTGGTGCTTGTGTCAAACTCTCAAGAGATGCCTAGGAACTCCTATTCTAGCTCAACTAATTTGTTCCTGAAACCAAGCCTTTACTACCAGAATAGCATGATTGATGGCTCTCCTTTCAGCTTTCCAACAGATACTGTTTATAGCCTCTCAGTGAGCAGAGTGAAGTTTTCCATGAACATTGTACATCCCGTAACTCAGTATTGTATACAATCCAAAGCCATCATTGCATCTGTTTCTTCTTTTAATCCTGAAAGGTTCAGGGTCTGGACTGTAGGATACAGTAATCAGTGATCCTGGTTCATTTAACTAGGTTCTACATTATCCCAAGTCATGAAACTGGGAGAATAAAGGACATACATGAATGCTAGTATTTAAATGTTTGTGACCACCGTGCCTGCCTCAAACTGAGGATGGTTCACCTCAGCAGCATGCTTTGAGTAGATAACAACTGTTTTATTACCTGATACCTTGTTCCTTGTTCAGTCACACTTCTCAGTTTTCTTCATATGCTCTGTTTTGTTCAGGATGTGATGTTTTTGATGTGCATAAAACATGATGACTCGTGAAACCAACAGACTTTTTCTAGTAGACACCAAAAATAATTAAGCATTTTGACATGTGGGAGGCATGCAGACTTGTCACCAACTGGCTACCCATGATATATAATGATTTTTATTCTGCTTTATCACAGTATACCCAGTTTTCAGAAACTCAAATGTGTTTTGTCTTTTCTGTGGTCATCCTAAAAGAGACAGACATGATTAGAAATGAATTGTGCAGAGTATATTTTAAACTTTGTACTCCAAGTGTTGTTTTTTTGTAGTATAAGCCACTTTCTCATTTATGTATTTTAGGATTTTATCTATTTATTTATTTATTTTTGAGTCAGGAGCCTAGGGTGTCCTCAAACTTGTGATCTTCCTGCTTCAGTCTCCTCAGTGCTGGGGTCACAGGTGTAGTTGGACACCACACTACATTTTTTGATTCTAAATGTTTTGTTTTTTTGGATTTTTGAAATAGGGTCTCGCTGTGTAGCTCAGGTTAGCATTGAACTCACCCTGTAGTCCAGGATGTCCTCGAACTCATGATCCTCCTGACTCTGCCTCCCAAGTGCTGGCATTACAGGCCTATGTCACCATGCTTTTCTTTTAAATGTATTTTTATTTTAATGCAAAACTTTTTTTTTTTGTGGGGCTTGTTATACAAGCTATCAGGGCTGCTGCTTTTATTATCCCCCCTTCAAAGGTACAGAAACAGGTTTGGAGAGGTTATCACTTGCCCCAAGTCTCACTGCTGCTGGAGCTGAGGTCAAGAGTTGTATTCACTGAAATAGGATCTTCTTTTTTTTTACTTGGTGGTGCTTCTAGGATTTGAACTTGGACCTTGTGCTTGCTGGGCAGGTGCTCTACTGCTTGAGCCACACCCCTTTTTGTTTTGGTTATCTTTGAGATAGGATTTTGCCTTACCAGATCACAATCATGGGATGACAGGTACATGCTACCACACCCAGCTTTTTATTAGTTGAGATGGGGTCTTTTGGCAATTTTGCCCAGGCTGGCCTGGAACCTCAAGATATGAGCCACCATGCCCTGCTTGAAACAGAATCTTAAAAAGAGGCCATACAGGTATAATTTGCCCCTTTACTGGTGTAGACAAGGAAGCCAAATTTCAGGATGAATTAAATATTGATAGTTATGAAAAAACTAGAGTACTTAGATCTCAGGTCTAACTTTTTTTTTATGGTACTGGGGTTTAAACTCTGGGCTGACACCTTGAGCCACTCCATCAGCCCAATTGTTTGTGATAGGTTTTTTCAAGATAGGGTTTCACAAACTATTAGCTTGGGCTGGCTTTGAACTGCGATCCTTCTGATCTCTTTGCCTCCTGAGTAGCTAGGATTACAGGCGTATTACCATGAGGCCTCTTTTTCTATGAACTTTCTATCACCGTTTTCTTTTTTTCCTAGCTTTTTTTTTTTTCTTCCCTTCTGGGTATTACTGGGGTTTGAACTTAGGGTCTCACACTTGCTAGGCAGGTGCTCTACCACTTGAGCCACTCTGCCAGGTCATAGCATAGCTTTCTGAAAAATGTTCATGTGGTCTGAATTTAGAAACCCTGTCAGTCACCATCTAAGGCTCCAGCTGGTCTGTGTCGTGCTGGAGGACATGGGGACTCTGCCAGGTCGCACTGGCCACTCTGCTTTATGAAGGACACTTGGCTCATGGTACAAGAGCTGTCTAGAACAAGGGGCTTTTAATGCAGCTTAGGACAGGGATTGCTTTTAGCAGCGAGCAGCCTCTGTGAAGCTGACTGATGCGGCCCAGTGTTGGGCTTGATTTGGGAAAGGTCGTTTAAATTCTTATCTCTGAAACACTGCAACTATTGACACACTGTGAGGGGGTTAGTAGTCCAAACAAGGAAGCTGTTAAGAACAACATACTCCATGTATCCAGGATTTTCATTCTGGAGGTCTGTTCTGTTCTGTACTTTTAGCCCGTTCCACCCATGTTTCTGAAGCACTCGAATGTTGGAGACCACTGTGGGGCTAGGCGTCCCCATTGTCCTCTAAGTCACAGACACTCTTGAGTGGCTGCCCCCATCTGGCATTCACGGAGCACCTAAGACTGCTCTTAGTCCTCACTACTGCTTGCTTAACAACTTTATTATTCCAGGGAGGCTTCAAGAGTGCTGGGTGGTATTTCTTTTCTGTTATGGACCCTCATAGTCTAGGTCAAGGCCCTGGGGAGGGAGAGGGATGGAAGCAGTTTTCTCTGGTGTTGTTGGTGAGTTACGTTCATAGTAACTGCAAGTCTCAGTTCAAGTAGCGTGGGGGAGGGGCATCCTTTGACAAGGAAACCCTGTAACTATAATCTGCCCCCAGGGATACACAGGTGCCCAATTCTTTGTAGATGGAATGAACCATTTGATAGAGGAGCCTTATAACTTCCAGGCCATAAATGTTTAGCAAATAAGTGACTTTGAAATCAATCACTGGGGGTGTGGTTCAAGTATTAGAGTGCTTGCCTAGCAAGCCAGCAGCTCTGGGTTCAGTCACAATACTGCAAAAAAAAAAAAAAACTCATTAAATTTGTCAATTTTGCTTGAATTAATTATTTCTAGTTGCTCAGATGGGGAGTAAAAACATATTGGAAAGGTCAGAGAGTTTGCATATCACTCACACATGACCACAGATGGCATTTCATTTCCTGTTCTCAGAGTGTTCCTGGGGCCAGAGAGCATGGTCCTGTCACTGAGTTATTGACAGTACTTGGAAAGTAAACATCTCACTGTGGGAAAGCAATGATATTTTAATATTTTGAAAAATATATCCTGTTGCTTAAAAATTACGCCAAGATCTGAGTTTGGCTTCTTATCTCAGCTTGAAAGATCAGGAAAATGTAATTAGAGCTGGAAGTCCTAGGGACATTTGGTGACTGCCTGGAGATTAGAATAGTGACACCGTGGTGATCGTGAGTAGTGATCATGATGCCTTTGAACATTTGGGGACTTTCGATATGATATAGGAAATAAAGATTAGTAAGGGAATGTTAGGTGTTCCAGATATTATAACATTAATCCATGTCACTTTTTTTTTTTGGCAATACTGGGGTTTGAACTCAGGGCTTTGCACTTGCTAGGCAGGTGCTCTACCACTTGAGCCACACCCCCAGCCCTTTCTGTTTTAGTTATTTTTTAAATAGGGTCTCAAGTTTATGCCAGGGCTGACCTAGGTGACAATCTTCCAGTTGACACTTCTCACACAGCTGGGGT